TGGCACCCAGGGAGCGCAACTGGGGGAACCGCGCGGTTGCTTTTACCTTTGTTGTTGCTTTCGCTTGGCTCCCAGGGGATTGGGGGAACCGCCTGGGGCAGTTTGCACTGCCCCGCCGTTTTGAGCCAAGCGAGTAAGAACCCTTCTAGGCAGAGCCTAGGTAGGGAAAAACATTGATGTTCCCTAGGCTTTTGAAGGGTTTTGGCGTGTTGGAGGGCGCCGTGGAGGGCTCGAAGGGCACTTGGATCCGTCTTGGGGCTGTCTTGGGGCATCTTGGAGGTATGTCGGAGGCTATCTTGACCCATCTTGGAGTACCTTGGGCCATTTTGGAGGCCATCTTGCGATTTGGAACGCCTCTTAGAGCCATCCTGGGCCATCTTGGACGCTGCGGCGCCTCCCCCCCCCCCCCCCCTCAAGGTCCAGGGGAGGGGATAGGGGGAGGGGTCAAGACCCCCTCCCCGCCCGCAAGCCGTCTCGCTCACTCCCACCCGCCCCCCCAACACATACGTAGCACCCGAGTCCGGCCCGAGCCTCAGCATATTCAGGAGTCGTCTTTGGATGGGCAGCTACTGGGGGCCAATCCGCCGCCGACGCCGCCGCCGTCGCCGCCGCCGCCGCCGCCCCCCGCTGCCAAACCGCCGCCGCAGCCGCAGCCGCTGCCGCCACCGCCACCGCCGCTGCCGCCGCCGCCGCCGCCCCCGCCGCCGCCGCCGCCGCAGCCGCCGCCGCCGCCGCCGCCGCCAAGTGTACTCTGTATTGTTTTTTGACAGGGATGGTGGGGGGGCCGCATCGGGTTGGCTGCGCATGTTCCGAATTTGGAGGCAGAGAGTGTTTTGTTTTGTTTTTTTACAAGGGATGGTGGGGGGGTGTTGTCATGGACCCTTGTTGGCCCCCAGTCGCCTGGGGGAGGGGGTGTTTATTAGTAGGGAACAGTGATAAACCCCTCCCCCGAGCAGGGGAAGGAGAGGGAAGAGAGAAGAACAAATTCGCTATACCACCGTAGCCTTAAAGGGCTGGTGGGATTATTTCCAGCCCCAGTAGGATTTCATTAAAGCTGGGTCGAGCCCTAATATTATTCTATCAGCGCCGAATCCAGCCTTAATAGGATTCTGTGAAAGATAGATCGAGGCCGAGGAAGAGCCTATAAGAGCTGGACCAAATTCTGCCAAGATGTTGCATTGATGGTGGCTCGAGCTTGAATACAAGTCCATCAGACTGGGATCCCGCCCTGATATGACCCTACTAGAGCTGGACCGAGCCGCAGTATGATTATGTTAGAGTTGGATCGGGCCCTCGTAGCAGCACATCATAAGAACAGGATCGAGCCCCAAGAGGATTCTGTTAGAGCCGGATCGAGTTGTAGGAGGATTCCACCAGAGCTGGACCGAGACCTTGTAGGATTCTGACAGGGCTGGATCGACGCCTAGAAGGATGCATTGGAGCTGCATGGAGCCTTGGGACGACTTTGTTAAAGCTGGATTGAGCTGTACTTGGCTTCCATTTGAGCTGGATCGAGCCTTCTACGAGTTTTATTAGATGTATATCCAGCCCCAGTAGGATTCGATTAGTGGCGGTGCGAACTCTGGTGGGGTTCTGTTCTAGTGAATCGAGCCCTAGTAGTATTAATCAAACCTGGCGAGAGTCGCAGGCGCCGCCGCACGATGCGCCGCCGCCGCTGACGTTGTCGCATTCGTCGGCGTCGTCGTCGTAGGCGTCCGCGTTTCTTGCCTGCGGCGGCGACGTCGTCGTCGTTTGCCGGCGGCGGCCATGTTGTCGTGGTCGTTTTCGTCGCCGATGCCTGGGAATGGGGGGAGCGGGGGAAAGGTTCTGGACCGTTCGGGTAATTTTCCACGGGGTGTTCTGGATCCCTCCAAGTCTTTTCACCGGGGAAGGAAAGGGGGGAGCGGTTCCGGAACCCCCCCCGAGTCATTTTCCCCGGGGTGAACCCTTCCCGAGTAACTTTCCAAGGGGGAGGGGAAAGGACCTCCCAGTTTTTCTGCGGAAGAGGATGGAGGGCGGGGGGGGAGAAGGGGAGGGGAGTCGGGGGTGAGGCACGGAAGGGGGGGCCTTGGTTTCTGAACCCCCGTCTGAGGATTTCGTTCGGGGGGGAGGGAGGCGCCCCCTGGTTTCCGACCCCCCTTTCTATAAGAATGTTTCAGGTCAGCGACGGTGGATCGCGGTGTTTCTTATCTCTCCCTCTCTCTCTCTCTATCTCTCTCTCTCTCTCTCCCGCTCTATGTATATGTATATATATATATGTATCTCTCTCTCTTTCTCGCTTTATCTCTCGCTCTCTGTCTATCCCTCTCTCTGTCTCGTTCTCTGGCGCACCGTCGGGCATTTCCGTTGCACTACACCCGACAACGCTTCTGCGTGTGCATGTTTAGTTGTTGTTTGCATGTGGCATGAATGTACCTGTTCATGACGTATGTGCAACACGTAGGCCTGAGTTCACCAAACACTGTGAACAAGAGAGATGTAGCCGTGGCAGCAGTGTTGATGAGGCGAAAAGGGGCAAGTTCAGCGCGCGAATCTGGATACGCCTAAGAATATGTTTGTGCCCGTATCTGTTTACGCCAGCGGCGATCATTCATTCAAAGTTTACATTCCACAGGCCAAGGCCTTGAAAGCCAAAGCGTCCACGCACCAGCAGGCTGGGATATCCAATGCGCGCTGTGCCGCGCGGCGCAATGCCTCGAACTTCCCCAGGATTGAGTTGCAGGTGAAGCTCATGCGGACCGCTAGGCACCGCAGCGCGCAGGTTGAGAGGTTTATTCGGCCCTCTTGAGGGCCGCTGGGGCCCTCTTGGAGCATGCCTGGAGGCCAACGACCCAAGAATAGTACTCCTCCTTTCGGGGGCTCAGGGGGGCCAAAGCATCCTTTACTGAGACGTTCCTGGGGTGTCTCTCAGAGGCCACTCGGGCTCCTTTCAGGCCCTCGTATGCCCCATTTGGGGCTGCCTTGTGCCAGCTTGGAACCACCTTGAGGCTTCCGAGGAGAAGCGGAAGCGAAAAGGCGAGAGAGCCGAAAACATTGCTTCCCCAGACGTACCCACTCAACATGCACGTGCGGCAATATCAACGGGCCCATCCAGGGCAAAAGAACAGTTGAAGGGCATGGTGTGCGGTACGAAAACTACATGGGCAATCTGCGTTTTGAACGATCAGTGGGGGATGCAGGAAACGTCAATAAAAAGGAAAATGGTGGGAAACAAGACGACAGCGACAAACAGGAATGTGAAGAGGAGAGAAGGCTTCATTGAAAGAGGGCGTGATACAGCAGTAACGAGCACCAGCGCAGTGAGGAGAGAGGAGAGTGGACGGCGCGGAGGGCGAGGACGAATAACATGTGATCGGTGGCGACGAGGGGGCGTCGGGCAATATAACCCATAGATGAGAGATCCCAGGCTGGGAGGTATAGCCAACTTGTTAGCTTCAACGCGCAGTAGAAGGTCACAGTCGCACACATGTCCCTGTCTGGGCGTGCAGCGCATCGAGAGGCATTTGACAGCGCTGGCACCCGCGCTGGTGGCTCTCTCGTTCAGTCGTGCAAGAAGCTAGCCAGACCGACCCCGTGCGCCAGCGTCTCGGCTGCCGCCCCAGCCTTGCACTTGTCAGTCCGGGCGATGAGAGCTCACAGGCGCGTCACCAGCCCCGCGGGTGGTTTTTTTCCAAGAGTGGAAGTCCAAGCCAGGAGAGCGCATCGAGAGCAGGTTGACCGACGCCGTCGCCGTCGACAGTATGACGTACAGGTGCAACAGAACTTGTCCACGTCTTTGGCACCCAGTTGGGTATGCGGCGACAGTTGCGCAGTCGGCAGCACTCCAGGAGGCGAGATCTCGTTGGATTCGGGGTAGGACCGCGCTCAGCTGAGCCCCCACGGTTTCACAATAGTTGCCACAGCTGTGCATGTGGCAGCACCCTACAGGAGGAAGCGAGGTCCCGTTTGGACGTGGTGAGGACCGCACCCCGTTGGGCGACTCGCAAATCCATGCACGTGGCGGCACCTGCGCAGTTGGCAGCAGCCATGGAGGCGAGATCCCGCTTGGATCTGGGTAGGACCGCACATCGGTGGGCCCTCCACGAATGCACGAAAGTGTTGACATTTGCGCGCCTGGCAGAGCCATGGTGGCGAAGTCCCGCTCGGGTCCGGGTAAGACAGGCTGGGCCATGCCTGACAGACTAGGGAGGCGAGTTTTTGATTGGATTCGAGCAGGATCGCGCTCCGCTGGGCCTTCGACGAAGTCACGACACGAGTTAAAGTCGCGCAAGCGGCGGCACCCATGGAAGCGAGGTCCCGCTTGGATTTGGATACGTTCGCATCGTGTGCAACCCACAATTTCACGCATGTGCCGACATTTGCACAGTTGGCAGCACCCAAATGACGAGGTCTTGGTTGGTTTGGAATTGGGTCGGACAGCAGTCGTCTGGGCATTCTGCAAGCTCACGATCGTTGCGAGGCCCGCACGTGGCAGTTCCGTCCCGCTTGGATAGTGGCGAGACAGTCTTATGCCAGACCCCTTCGGCGCGCAGCTAGGCGGCGACAGTTGCGCTGCGCGCCTTCAAGGACCCAAGCGAGGAAAGGGGCACCAGGAATAATAGAAGATGAAGCGAGGCGGAGGGGAGGTGGCGGGAGGGTCAGAACCAAAAAATTCACCGTTGTATTGTTATGGCATTGGGGGAACATCTGGGACGTTCCGCGGTCATTCGGCGCTTTCTTAAGGCCTTGAGCCAGTCGGGGCCATATGGGGCAATGTTGGTCGTTTTTCGAGGGTCTAATCGATCGCCGGGGGGAGACCCCTTTTGACGTATTAGCTCGCCCACACGGGGAAGAAATGGCTGTTTCAGAAGAGCCAACCCAGTAAACCGCCGACGCCCAGAGGGTTTTCGGCATTAGCGCCACGACGACGGCCATCTTGCCAGTCACCATCACGTATAAATGCCTCTTGTCTGTTTCCAACTGTTGCGTCAGAAAGTATGTGTGTCCTCCCCATGCCGCAGGTTCGCTTGTGGTTTGCAGCGTGCCCTGGCGTTGCGAACCACCGCGGGCATACCCAGCAGCAGTTGGTGCAGGCGCCGTGGGCTCAAGACCTGCCCGACGTGTAAAGCAGGGTAGCCAGCGAGCGAGAGAAGGGGCAGCAGTGGGAGCATCGGCAGGCGGAGGTGGAGGAGGAAAGGCGCTCTGGAGGGCGAGAAGGGGCAACGAGCGGGGGCGGGGAGAGGAGCAGGAAGCCGGCGAAGGAGGAGGCAAAGACAGAGTAGAAGAGAACGGGCGGCGCCGCAGGCGCAGCCGCGGCCGCGGCCGAGATGTCAGCGGCCGCAGCCGCAGCGGGAGGGAGGTAGGAGGCGGAGCCTGGGAGCAGAAGTGGGAGCGGGAGCAGCAGGTGCCGGACGAGGAGGAGGTAGCAACGAAAAAGAAGAGGACGGGAAGGCCGATCAGCCTTCTGGGGGAATGTCGAGGAGGGGGCGGAGCGGACGGCACGCACAGGGGACGGGCACGGCGCGGGGGCTTGAGAGACGGTGGACGCGGCCAGATTCAGTGGACGGTCCGTGCTCCATGCTGCGCGTTCTGGCTAGGCTGCTCCGGCCGGCCAGCTGTTCCTCCTCTCATCCTCTTCCGCCTTTTCCTCTTCCTCCTCCTCCTCCGCCTCGTCCTCCTCCTCCTCCTCCTCCTCCACCTCCTCCTCCTCCTCCTCCTCCTCCATCTCCTCCTCCTCCTCCTCCGCCTCCTCCTCCTCCTCCTCCACCGCCTCCTCCTCCTCATCCTCCTCCTCCTCCTCCTCCTCCTCCTCCTCCTCTTCCTCCCTCGCTCTCCATCCTCCCTCCTCCCACCCCTGCCTCTGCTCTCCATGCGTCATCAACCGCCTTGACACCCTCCGGATCGAAACGTCCACTGAGACATCGTCTGGCAGACATTACGAGATTATTCGCTCAAGCCGCACTACACAGGGGAGGTCCCGGGAGAGAACATGAGGGAACAGGTTTCGTGAGCGTAGCTTCGTCTCCTCCCATATGCTTTTCTTGTCCCGCAGGACGACAGTCCTCATCTCATCTACCCAGGGACGAGCACGGGTGGCAACAAAAGTTGGGCCGTGCACCCACAGTCACAGCACTCCGTCCCTCTGGGTGCCCTGGGCCTCTCCCCCGCGTCCTCCGCGCTCGTCCAGAATTCTTCCCAGCGGGCCCAGGAAGGCCCCGAAAGGCCCCACCCCCCAAGACAGCCCAAGAGGATTCTCAAATGGTCCTCAAGATGGCCCCAGAGGGCGCGCCTTGGGTGCCTGGGGAGAAGTGTGGGGGGGTGGGAGGGGCTCAAAAACGTCCGAGAATGTCTGGTTGCTTCCCACATCCTGAAACTGGGGCTCTTGCTTTCTCGGGGCATCGCACGGAGCCCGCACACACCTCGACACAGCGGCGAGGCGTCGAAATCCACACCAGCGCAACAGCTAGGTAGGGGCACTAACTAGCGAATTGGCCGGCGTGCAAAGAGGGAGGGGGGAGGCCGACGAGAGGAAGGAGGGACGCTCAGACGCCGACGACACCTCTGCAAACGCCCACACACCGTTTTCCCGCGACGGCGGCGCCACTTGCACGCAGCGCCCCCGCTGCGGGCGATGGGCGCGGGACCGACAGGCGTGGCCTTCTCGGCCCCTCCCGCCACCGTGCCCGAGCTGCGCGGGCGCGGGGCACGGCGAGCCCCGCGGGGGGGGAGTCGGCGAGGGGGGCGGACCTTCCGGGCAGGCTCGCGAGGCCTTTGGGCTGCCGCGGGAAGTTTTGGGGGGCCGTCTCCGAGGACTGAGGCCGGAGAGCTTCTGAGAAGCCCCGCTCGGGGCTCAAGGGGACGGGGGTCCCAACGCCAACGGGGGTCGGGCAGAGCGACGGATCCTGCAGGATCCCGCAGAGCCAGGAGTGCATCGACCCGTGCTCGGGTGCAGGATTTTTGCAGGATCCTGCAGAGCTTGGCCGACCCGGGCTTGAATTGACCCGGGCCAGTAGATCCCCGACCCGCCGCTTTCTGTGAAAGCCTGCCTCCTGGGAGGGCTGGAGGAGGAGGAGGAGGAGGAGGAGGAGGAGGAGGACGAGGAGGAGACGGAGGAGGAGGAGGAGGAGGAGGAGGAGGAGGAGGAGGAGGACGACGAGGAGGAGGCGGAGGAGGAGGAGGAGGACGAGGAGGAGGAGGAGGAGGAGGAGGAGGAGGACCTTCCCTCCTGGGCGCGCCGCCGAAGCATGGTCGGGAGCGCCGCCGCGTGCCAGCTGTGATGTGGGCCTCTTGGGGGCTCTCTTCGCGGCCTGCCGTGGGCTTCCTCGCGGCGTGCCGGCGTCGCCGATGCATCGGCGATGCATCAGCGATGCGGCGCGATTCTCGGACCCCATCTGCTCGGACCCCATCTGGGAAGCTTAGAGGATGTTGGGCCCTCTTGGGGTGGGCCTACCGTTAGGTCGGGCATGCCCTCCTACAGGCGGATGTTGGACAAAAGATACTCAAAACATGTTCAAACATGGTCAAACATAGTGTTTAGAAAAGTCGTCCTCTGGCTATGTTTCTGTTATTTTTGAATATTCCTCCTGTAGAGGGACATGCCCGACTTAAGCCTGCCGGGGGCGTCTGGGGGTTATCTTGGGAGCCTGCAGGGGATCCTGAAGACATCTGGGGCGGGAGGGAGGACCTTGGCCTGGCGCACCGAAAACGTTGCAGCACCCCACGTGCTTTCCATTCTCTGGGGTTAAGTCGGGCGTGTCCCTCTACAGGAGGAACATCCAAAAATAGTCAGGGGACGATTTTTTGAGTATCTTTCTGGGCATTATCTGACTATTTTCACGTTTCCTCCAGAATCTGCCTGCAGGAGGACACGCCCGACCTAAATCTGGGGGCTCGGGGGGGGCCACCTGGCGAACCCCAGGAGCGGGCGAGACAGCCGAGAAGTCGGGGTACAGAGCCCCTGAAGATTATTGCCATACACGCCGGTCGTTGAAAGTAGATATTTCTGGATTATCATATCCCTCGCAGGCGACGATGGGGGCGAATAGCTCAGGGGTGAGCACTACATGTATCCAGGGGCGCCGTGATCCATGTCTTCGGCGAGGCACCTGGGCGAATACGTGTAATGTCCACCCCTGGGCTATTCGCCCTTGTCGTCGCCGCCGAATCCCAATCTACTCTGGGCGCCTTCCCACTTCAATCATCGAGTGTTTTGTTCCTTTTCCCTCCTCTCCAGGGAGCGGGCGCGGAAACCCAGTCTATATACAACGTTTTCCTAAGTCGGGCATGTCCCTCCACAGGGGGAATATTGAAAAATAGTCAAAAATGATCTGGGGACGATGTTTCTAGTTGTTGTTTTCCAATGTTTGAATTTGTGTTGACTATTTTTTACGCTTCGCCCAAAATCTGCTAGTAGGAGGACATGCCCGACCTAATCCTACTTCATGTTTCTACCCACTTCTTCCGACCGACGGGTACACCCTGTTAAGTTTTCTCCTGAGTCTGAAGTAACTCCATTCGGTGCCTGCGGCGCGGTGGCGGATTTGGCACGAGCGGAGGACCTCGCGTTAATCGTTAAACCTACGATGTACCGTCGAGGCGAGCTTTCTTCCCCGCTTTCTCCTCCATCCCCCCCGCCCACACTCGCAGACCATAAGACGTGCAAGCTCAAAACTCTGAATGCACCTGCAAGCACATGCACTCGCGTCCTCGTCGTCCTCATCGTCGCCCTCCGTTCCCCAGTTTGGCTCAGACCATTTTGGCCTGGGCTCCGCTGGGCTCCTGCGGCGCACGGCATCGCTCCAGGGCCGCGCCGGCAGGATGGGCAGGAGCCGCAGCAGGAGCGGAAGCCGCCGCAAGGACAGCCGCAGCCCGAGCCGGAGCCGCAGCGGCGGCCGCGACGAGAGGCCCAAGAAACCGGACGACTACGGCGTGGACAGCATCAAGATCACAGACGACGACGCGGCGTTCATCCTGGGCAAGGGCGGCAAGACGAAGGAGAAGATCGCGCGCGTGTCCGAGTGCGAGATCGAGCTGTTCGAGAGGGACCTCATCCTCGAGTTCCGCGGCTCCAAGCTCGAGAGGCGCAGGGCTAAGAAGTATTCGGAGGGGGTCATGGCCCAGCGCACCGGGCCCGTCCAGATCAACGACGACTTCGACGACGGCGACATGACCGTGCTGATGGTGCCGCAGGAGGCCGTGGGCTTCGTCACGGGCCGCGCCGGGAACTTCCTGCGCAGCATCGAGGAGGAGTGGTGCACGCTGATGTTCTTCTGCGATGTCGGCAGCCAGCCCGGGGGAGAAGTGAGAAAGGGCGGGCCTTCTCAGAAGGCTCGGAAGTCCCCTGGCCTTCTGAGAGGTTTTCCAAGCCTTCCCCGAAGACACGGAAAACTTCTCAGAAGGCCAGAGGGCTTCTGAGAAGCCCCGCCGCCTTCTGAGGAGGCATTCCTTTGGCGTCGCTCGGACGTGTGCTTTTCGTTCTCGGCGAGAACCATCGAGGACCATCCTGGACCATCGAGCAAAAAAACACGCACGAAACCGAAAAATGCACGGGAAACGGACGTCCGAGCGACGGCAAGTCAGATTCCGCTTCTCGCTTGCCCCCCTCGCTCGCCGCCGAGCGATGTGGGCGGCAAGGGTGGCGGCCGCGGCAAGGACTACGAGAAGCTGGCCATATTCGGGGGGGTCCGCTCCAGGCGCGGGGCCGAGCTCAAGGTCATGAGCGCCGTGGAGACCAAGGTTCGAAGAAGAGAAACCGGAGGTGGACAGACCTCCTACCCTGACACGTCGATCAAGCAATTGGCCGTTCTCGGTTCGCGAGAGGGCGTCGCGGCCGTCATGTTTGCGGGTCCAGGTCTGTCGGTTTCGGTCCCAGGCCGTTTTCACTAAGGGGAGGTTTACTAAAGAGAGGTTTGTCCACCGCCGACAAAAGCGCTCTCAACATAAATTTTCGGCGCTCCTCGCGGATTTCTTGGATCTGCGCTGGGCCCCCCTGGCGCGCGCGCGGACCTCCGAAAGTTTATGTTTGTAGCGTTACTTCTTCTGCTTCTTCAAAGGTGCCGGGGTACTTCTCGAAGATCCGAGACGAGGTGGTGGACCGCGACAGGAACAAGGACAAGTCTGGCACCTGGGGCACGGACACCATGACCTTCCAGGACTCGAATCGGAGGCAAGCCTGGGGGGAGAAGTGAGAAAGGGCGGGACTTCTCAGAAGGCTCGGAAGTCCCACCGCCTTCTGAGAAGGCCTTCTCCCTCTCACTTGCCCCCATCGCTCGCCGCCCGCCAATCGAAGGAGAAAAAGTTGTATGAGCATGGGCTTTCGTCGAAGAAGAAAAAACGCCATAAAGATAAACTGTTGGCGCTCCGCGCGGATTTCTTGGATCCGCGCCTGGGGCCCCCCCGGCGGCGCCTCCAGCGCCGCCCCTGGCGCGCTCCGCGCGCCAGGGAGGGGGGTCCAGCGCAGATCCAAGAAATCCGCGCGGACCTCTAAAAGTCAATGTTTATGCCGTTATTTCTTCCAGTATCGAAGGAGACAAAGTTGTATGAGCATAGACTTTCGGAGGTTCGCGCAGATCTCTTGGATCGGCGCGGACGCCCCCCCCTCTCAGGCGCGCGGAGCGCGCCAGGGGGCGGCGCCGGAGGTGCCGCCAAAAGAACCCAGCGCCGACCCTTGTCTTTTCGGAAGCGCCCATGTGGCCGAACGTTGCGGCCAGAGCTCGGCCAAGGTATCGGACAAGATGTTCCCCCAGCCGTTGTGGAAGCGCTTCGGGGAACACCTGGGGAATAAAAGAAGAAGAAGAAGAAGAAGAAGAAGAGGAATAGGAGGAGAGGAAGGAGAAGGAGGAGGAGAAAGAAGAGGAGGCCTCTTGAGGCCCTCTAGCGGCCTCCTGGGGGCGTCCTTGGTGCCTTTGGGGGAGCTCTGGGGCCTCTTACGGTTTTCCTGGGGGCTTCTGGAGGTCTCTTACGGGGCGTCTAGGGGCTTCTGTGATACCTCCTGATTGTCGGAGGCCGACTGGGACCGCTTTGGTGCCGTCGTGGGGTCCTCTTGGGCTGTCTTGGGGCCCTCTTGGGCCGTCTTGCGGGTCTCTTGGGGACCTCTGAGGGTCCTCTCAGGACGATCTTGGGGGCCGATGGGCCCGTCTTGGAGCGTCGGACGCCCGAAAAGGCGAGAACGCTAAACTCAGCGAAAAACCTAAGGAAAATCATTGATTGTACGTCTGAGATCTGAGACGGCCTCTTCGGCCGTCTGAGGGGCATGCTGGACGTCTTGGGGGCATGTTGGCCGTCTCAGAGGCGTCTTGGGACCGTCTTGGAGGCCGTCTTGGGCCATCTTAGCCGTCTTGGAGTCCATCTTGGCCGCCTTGGACGCCATCGTGGAGCCGTCTGGAGCGGAAACAACCGTGCCGACCACGTCTGGAAGATCTTTCCCGGTGGCTGGCGGGATCGGCCGAAGCCCGAAAGAGGTTCTTAAAAAAAGAATAAACACCTCTTAGAAATCTAGCACGCCAGCTGTGATGAATCACCAGCGCGCGGCGGATGACGGAAAGCGCGTGGCGTCGCGATTTGTTAGTCGGGAAAATAACAAGGGGGAGTGTGAGGGGGTTGGCCTCGGCGGGCCCAGATGACGGAAACCGCGCGTAGCGTCGCGATCCGTCAGTCGGCAGAAATAACAAGGGGGAGTGTGAGGGGGTTGGCCACTGAGGACCCAGATAAAGGAAAGCGCGCGTAGCGTCGCGATCGGTGATGGTCGGCAGAAATGACAAGGGCGAGTCTCAAGGGGTTGGCCACTGAGGACCCAGATGACGGAAACCGCGCGTAGCGTGGCGATCCGTGAGGCGGGAGGAATTGCGTGCATTGAGAAGTCGAACTTGCTTCCAAAAAATTGCGTGCATTGGGAAGTCGAACCCGCTTCCAACAAAAAACACGACTTCCCAATACGCGCAGTTCCTCTCAGGCTCTTTGGGAAGCAGGCTCGAATTCCCAGCACACGCAGTTCATCGCAATGGGGGAGCGCTCCTCCGCAGTGTTGCTCCCGGGCCCGGGGCCGGGGTTCGTCGCGCTGCTCGCGATTGACTGGTGGGTCCCGCTTTCTGGCTGCGGCCACGAGGGATGTCCAGGCTCGCCCCGCAGCTTCGCCCCCGCGTTTGCTGACGCCCCGAGGGCCCCGCCGCGGCGACGAGGAAGCGAGGGCGGCGCACCTGTGGAGGGGGCCGGCCTCGGCGGGCCCAGAAGGAACGGCAGGTGTCGGCCTTGGGCGGCCCTGGGCGGCCCAGGCCACCCCCCAAGAGCGCCGCGGAGGGCCCCGAGACGGCCCAAGACAGCCCCAAGAGTGCCCAGGTTACCGCCACGACGGCCTCGGGAAGGCCCAAGAGGGCCCCAAGACGGCCCGAGAGCGCTCAAAGAGGGCCCAGGATGGCCTCAAGACGGCCAAAGAGGCCCTCAAGACGCTCCACGGGGCCTCCAAAAGGACGCCTTGGAAGCAAACATCGTCCCATTCCTTCCAAAAAAACGTAATACATGTTTAGCATATCTGCTTCTTTGGTCTTCACAGACGGCCCAAGAGGCCCCCAGGATCGCCCCGAGGCGGCACAGAAGGCCCCCAAGACGGCCCAAGGGGGCTCCAAGAAGGCCCAAGAGGGCCCCAAGTCTTGGGGGGCCCAAGAGGTGGGGCCTCCTAGCATCTTGGGACGGAAGACTCGGATGTTCGGTTCGTGTTCCCCCTCTTGGGGTTGTCTTTGGGCTTTCTTGAGCGCCTCTGGGGCCTTCTTGGAGCCCTCTTGGGCCAATCTTGGGGCCGTCCTAGAGCGTCGGGAAGCCGAAAATGCAAGAATCTCCAAAACATCATCGTTCGGCGATTCGGGGCTCTATTGGGCCATCTTGGGGTTTCTCTTGGCGCCCTATTGGCACGTGTTGGTGCCATCTTGGGGCCGAAAAAAAACACGCGGCAAGACGCGACAATCCCCAGGAATCACGCCAGGAGCCCCGGGGAATACGCCGGGAGCCACAAGAGATCTGTGAATGTTGAGTCTTTGCCTTTTTAATTATCCTGGCGAAGGACCCAACCATTTCCAGTTGTGAGCACGGCATTGCGGTCATCTCTTTCATTAGAGCTCCCGATGGGACCACGAAGCGTGCGAGGGGTGTGCTGAAATGGATGGGGATTCGCATGCGAACTGCGCCACGTAGGCGCTCGGCGGAGCTCCCTATGGGACCACGAAATGTGCGCCGACATGAGCGTGACGCCCGCATGCGAACTGCGCCACGGGGGCACTCGGTGGAGCTCCCCATGGGGCCAGGAAACGCGTGAGGGGTGTGCCGAAACAGGCGTGACGCCCACACTCGAACTGCGACATTGAGGTCTTCGCTAGAGCTCCCCATGGGGCCACGAAACGTGTGAGGGGTGCGCCGAAGCTAGGGTGACGCCCACATGCGAACTGTGCCACTGGGGCCTTCGGTGGAGCTCCCTCTGGGGCCACGAAACGTATGAGTGGTGTGCCGAAACAGGATGACGCCCACATGCGATTTGCACCACTGGGGCCTTAGGTGGAGCTCCCCATGGGGCCACGAAACGTGTGAGGGGGTTGCTGAAACAGGGATGACGCCCACATGCAAACTGCGCCACTGGGACCTCAGGTGAAGCCCCCTTATTGGACCACGAAACGTGTGAGTGGTGTGCCAAACGGGGGTGACGCCCACATGCAAACCGTGCCACTGGGACCTTGGCTGGAGCTCCCGACCCCTACGGGGCCACGAAACGTGTGAGGGGTGGGTGACGCCAATATGCGAACTGTGCCACTGGGGCCTATGGGGCGACGAAACTTGTGAGGATTATGCCGAAACAGAGGTGACGCCCACATGCAGTTTGCGCCACTGGGGCCTCAGATGGAGCTCCTTGTGGGGCCACGAAACATGTGAGGGGCGTGCCACAACGGTTGACATACGGAGGGCCGAGGCAAGGATGGGAGGAGGAAGGAGGTGGGACGCGGGGCGCTGTTTCTCCAAAACGAGGACCCAACACCACAGGATGGTTGGGAAAGTCATCAGGATTGCGTACTGAAGCTCAGGAGTTGGGCAAAGGGACCTGGGGACACCCCACTTCGTGCCGCGGGGGCACGGGGGCAAACACCGCTTTTCTTCTTCATCGATCGGACAGGCACAGAACTACACTTTGGGCGAGTGGATTAGCTTCTTGCGCGGATCCCCAAATTCCAAACTTACTTTTGCGACATCGTCTTACGTATTGGTTCGCCCGCCATTCGAGGGGGCCGATCGCGCCTGTCGGATGTGCCGGTGCCTCGACGTCGCTTGCCAGTGTCAGTGTGGAATCAAGACTTGCGCCTCGCGAGTGGGTTGGAGGATGAGCGCAAGGTGAGTCTTTCAGCTGCGGGGGGGCGCGGGCGTTTGCCGCCACGCAGCGGCCAGGGGCAATTGGGAAACGCTCAGGGAAATGGTAGGCGGCAGGCAGAGGAAGAACGGGGGAGGGGGAGGGCAAAACAGCGAGCGGGAATGGGGAACATAGTGACCAGGCGAGATGCTCTGATAGGGGGAGCGATGTGGGCGGAGGCCGCAGTTGGAATTCCTTCGGATAGCCCTGGGACGTTCAGACACCTCCGCCCGGAGGCCGGCAGGGGGTTCGGCGGGCTTTGCCTTCCCGACTCTGCGGGCGGGGCGCGACGACGCACCCGACCTGTACCCCGTCCCTTTCGCTAGGTGCCGGTCTGCACGTGCTCGCCCCGCGCGAGACATCCAGCACGTTCAGAACTACATTTAGCCAGGCACTAGGTGTAGTTCTGTACGTGCTGGTTTCGCTTGAGACATCCTCACAAAACGGAGCACTTATAGAACTACACCTAGCCAGCGGGGCGGGGTGCATGTCGGGTGCCGCCGCTCGCGCTCCCAACGTGTACCGCGCCCCTGCCGCTAAGTGCCGTTCTGTGCGTGTCCCTCTTCCGCGAAGCATCGGTTGCCCGCGCCGCGCATTGCCGAGGCCCCGCCCCCTGGGCCGCTCCCCGCCGACATCCTGCATCCCCGTGCTCAGCGAAGCCAGCCGTATGCCTTGGGGCCTCGACCTCGCGCAGCCCGCTTCCCTCCCCCGCCTGTGCCCCAGCAGCAAATTCGCGATCCGATCCCCCGCGTTTTCGAGTGTTTCTTCGTGCCAGATTCCCCGTCCGAGGGTGAAACGCTTGTTCGTGTTATGATTTCTTTCGCGGCAGCTGCCAAGCTTCGCCGGGAAACATGGCGATCGCTTCCACGCTTGGCGCGCAGCGTCGTCGGCACGACCATCGCCTTCCATCGTAGGTCGTGAGGCGGCGTCCGTCCACCCAGACCGACCGACGCGCCAAATCGAATTATGATTGCCACCCCTGGTCCCCGCAGCAAGGTGCAGTTTTGCTGTGTGTAGTTGTAGATGTGTTCGAATCGAAGGACGACGAGCTGTCGTACGCCCTCGGCAAGCAGGGCGGCACGCGCAAGAAACTGGAGCGCTCCTCCGCCGCCATCGTGCAGTACGTCGGGCACACGGCGCTGTTCTCGGGCACCAAGCCAGAGCGCCGGCGCGCGAAGGAGTACATGAAGTGGCTCTTCGAGCAGCTCGAGGGGCCAGTCTACGTGGACGGGTGGGAAAAGCGCGACGACATCACCGTGGTGGACATCCCCTCAGACTGCATCGGCTACATCACGGGCAGCCGCCGCGCGACCATGGGGTCTATGGAGGAGGAGTGGGGCGTCCTCATGTTCTTCATGAACAAGCCTGGGGAGGGCAAGAGCAAGGGAAAGGGCGGCAGCGAGATGCTCGCCATCTTCGGGGATAAGCGCGCCCGCCGCGGGGCCGAGCTCAAGGTGATGAGCGGCGTTGAGACGAAGAACCCCGGCACCTTCACCAAGGGCATCAGGGAGAAGAAGTCGAGCGAGAAGGGCTTCGACACGGACCGCATCGTCTTCCGCGACGACGAGCTCAGCTACGCACTCGGCAAGGAGGGCGCCACCCGGAAGAAGTTGGAGGGAGCCGCTGGGGCCGTGCTGCAGTACGTCGGACATGTCGCATTCATCGCTGGCGACCTGCCGCAGAGGAGGCGCGCCAGGGAGTTCATCGAGTGGCTGCTGCAGCAGCGGAAAGGCTCCGTCACCATCGCCGACGTCTCGGAGCGCGAGGACACCACGGAGGTCCACGTCCCCGAGAACTGCAAGGGATGGGTGACTGGCAACCGCGGCTCGGAGCTGCGCCGCATGGAGATGGAGACGGGCACCTTCATGTTCATGGCGCTGGACGCCAGGCAGGGCTGATCACCGGCCGATCCGATCCGATCCCCGAGCTTCCATACCGATATCGTCTCCGATCTGATCCGACGCGGACCGATCCCCTCTCCGATGTCGGTGCGACACGATCTCGATCTCGACCCGACCCGATCCAGCCCTGGCACTGCCAGGGGAACGGAGCGGCTCCTCATCTTCTGCCACGACGCCGGCACCAAGGTGAGCCCCAGGGGCCGCATGGCCGCCGAGCGGCTGGTCCACGGAGGAAAGCACATAGGCATCATTGTTCATGTCCACCCCGCCGCTGTGGCCCGGGGCCTTCGGCCAGAGGCTTTCCCCAGGCCTCTTAGGGTCTCGACGGGGGCCCTCTGGGAGGCTCCGCCGCAGGATGGAAGAAGAAAATACGGTGGGGGGCGTTCGTGAAGGAATGTGCCCAGGAGGCTTCAGACCCTGGATGTCTCGCTACCTGATACAGGTGGCGGTGGTATCCATGGCCAAGCCTCAGTTGGTGTTCCACCGGCTTGCAGTCCAACGCCCTCACCGTTTGCATGAGCATAATTTGTCGGAGGCTTACGGTCAGCAATGTTTGCTCAGCGTGTCGCGGCGGCGGCCCCTGGCGACACGCTATACCGTGAAAGCGGATAGCGTGTCGCTACGCCCCGCGGGACGGGAGGCTGGGAAAGGCTCGGGAAGTTGAAGCTTGAGGATTGGGACGTGGATAGCGTGTCGCACCGAGGCGTGGTGGGCCAGAACCGGCGGCGCAACACGCTAAGCCAAAGTTCCTTACCGTGTGTTCACGCCATCCTTACAGGCCTCCTCCTGGCGCGATCCTCCGACCCCATGTGCTCGGCCCCCACCTGGGAGGCCTCTCAGTTCTGCTGCCCCGCCCCTCCAGGTCAACGAGATGATCCAGGAGAAGCTGCGCGACGACGACGGCGGCGGGCGCGGCCGCTCGGACAGCCGCGGTCGCTCCCCCTCGCGCAGGTCGGGGCGCTGCATAATGGGGTGGTAACCAGCGGGGGGGGGGGGCCAAAAGGTGCCAATACCGCTGCTCCCCCGCACCCCTGCCAGGGTGCGTTCTGACCAGAATTTCGAAGCGAGCCCAGCGGTTGCGACGAGGGCATCCCAGAAGGCCCAGAGAGGGGGGAAAACGAGGCAAGGACAGCGGCATGGGTGCCTTTTCCTCTTCTCCTCCGCTGAGGGGGGGCAATGGGAGAGCAACAGAGGAACTCGGCCGCGCGCCCAGGGGGAGAGGGGGGGGGGGGGGGCAGAATCGAAGAGCAACAACAAGCAGAAAGCTCTACCTCCTCTTCCTTCCTCCTCCTCCTCCTCCTCCTCCTCCTCCTCCTCCTCCTCCTCCTCCTCCTCCTCCTCCTCCTCCTCCTCCTCCTCCTCCTCCTGCGGTTGGCCTCCTCGAGCCCTGCTGCGCAGTTGGACCCCAATCAGATTTTTGCGGGCATCCGACGAAGGGCCCTGGCGGAAGATGGCCAGGCCAGCATCATCTCTGTTTCACATGTGGCTGCGCATCGCTCTGCAGGGGTGATCGCAGCACTCCCACCGCACGAGCGGAAGATCGCCCTAGGCAATGCCGACGCGGACAGGTTGGCAAAGCACGCGCTGAGTTTTCACCCCAGCCTTGCCCCAGACGAGCTGGAGAGGCTGGATCCAGACGTTGTCGAGCTGCGCAAGCTCGTGGCGATGTTTGCGGCAGTGCTTTCCTGTTTCCCGAAGCTCGAGCTTCGTCGGGAAAAGACGGGCCCCAGGATGCCGCCCCCGCGTGCCCTGAGCTGGCACGAATGGGTCATCCTCGACCCTGGCGACGAGAGCGACCAGGAAAGTGCGGCTCGATGCAGTAAGTGCTTTAAGGTGTCCTATGGCGACGATCGGCCGATGCTAGGGTGCAGCGGACTCCCCACGGCCCTGCGTCGCCTGCAAGGCGCGGAGAGCGAACGGGGCCACCTCCTGTGCGCTTCCCTGCGCCAGACCGCCGAGTGTGAGATGTTGGTTTTCTGCTTCAAGTGTGGAGCTTTCACCAGCCAGCGGTGTTTCCTTCTCGGCGAGCGGTGCAAAGGGAAGCCTGGACCGAGTGGCAGGGGCGCTCTCCACCGAATTCGTCAGGGCCTTCATCCTCACTACAGATCGGGGGAGAAGGTAGCTGCAGGTTCTGGCGCCACATGTCGCGCCTCTGCCAAGTACGTGCTGCTCCCTGCAGCCACTACTGGTAGCCCCTCCGCTCACTCGGGTGTGCGTCTCCTGCCATCGCTGGAGGTGCTGGCGGCCCGAGTAAGAGAGCGGGAGGAGAATGCAGCTCGGGCTTTGGAGGAGCATGGAGTGCTGCCTCGGCCTTCGACCCGCGGCAGTCCCGCGGGTTAAGTCTAAGTGGCTAGGGGAGAGACGTTCATCTCCTGCGTTGCCACACCCGTCAGACTGCCGTGCGGTGCTGGCTGGTAATGCTCTGTTGTGCCTCGTGGGCCCCCGAGGAAAAATCCTCTCCTCCTCCTCCTCCTCCTCCTCCTCCTCCTCCTCCTCCTCCTCCTCCTCCTCCTCCTCCTCCTCCTCCTCCTCCTCCTCCTCCTCCTCCTCCTCCTCCTCCTCCTCCTCCTCCTCCTCCTCCTCCTCCTCCTCCTCCTCCTCCTCCCGAGCCCGAGGTGGTCCTCACAGTGAAGCCCCCAAGAGGCCCCGAGCACCTACCCGGAAGCTCCAGGCCGCGAGGAGGGCCCCAGGCGAGGCCCACGGCACGGCCCAGCAGTCCGCGGCATTCCACGGCCGCGTTGCGGCGGCGCGCCCAGGCGAGGAAGCGTGGAGGAGGCGGGCCCTCTCTCGGCCACACGCAACGATCGAAGAAGAAAAAACATTCTTTTGGGGGGGGATCCGCGGGTCGAGAGCGAGCCTCTTCCGGTCGAAGCTAAGCGGGCCGCGCGAAGCTTGAATTGACACAAAGAAGAAAAAAACACGTAAAAATCAATGTGTGGCGCTCCGCGCGGAGCGCCAAAAGTTCATGCTTATGTGTGCGTGTGTGTGTGTGTGTTTTTCTTCCATCTCTCAGCCACACGCAACGAGTGGCCCCGGGCAATCGGAATCGTTTTACCACTCCCCATCCCCATCCCCATCCACTTCGAGGCCCCCACCAAATTACCACCCCAGTTGGGGATACACCCTTCGAAACCTGAAGGGAACGGCTTATATCCCCATCTAGGGGAGTAAATCGGCCAGTGGGGCCCAGGCCACGCCGCTGGGGATGTGGATCGGCAAAACGATACTTATCTCTCGGCCACACGCAACGAGTGGCCCCGGGCAAGGGTGACCTCTGGTGCGCGGGTGTTTTGGGGGGGGCCGCGGGGGGACCAGACACGATCGCGCAGGACGTTGCTGTCTCAGGCGATCACAACCATGGATCAAGGGGGCGTGGATTAGCGACGGGTCCCGTTCCCATGGGAAGTCGCGGATTTCCGCCACCGAGCGAGGCGGCGCTGGCCGCATTTTAGGGAGGGCACCTCCCCCGACTCATGGATTTGGCGACCGCGCGCCCCCGATCTCGGCCACACGCAACGAGTGGCCCCAGGCAAGAGTGACCTCTGGTGCGCGCGTGTTTTTGGGGGGGCGCGGGGGGACCAGACACGAGCGCGCAGGACGCTGCTGTCGCATCGCGCTCGGCGATCGGGGGACCCCCTGGGGCCCGAACCAGCGGTCACCCCGGCGGATGGTCACGCCTCCACTCTTACGTTTGGTCGATTCTCAGGAGGCCGCGGGGCTTCCAGAAGGGCCGAGGAGGC